AGTGGCTGGGAATGCTTTGAGCATTAATATGATAAACGTTTAAGCGACATTTAGAAGGGCGACCAAACGTCTGTCTCACAAAGTCGCCAAGTGTATCTGATAAGGAGCTAAAACTCTCGTCACCCGAAATAGTAGCAGATTCGTTTGCGGAATGAAACGATTCATCATCAGACAGCATGCAATTAAAATAAATATAAATAAAATAAAGAAATATGTAAAGTTATATAACCAATAATATCGGATGACAACAATACGATGTCAAACTTTTTATAAATAAATACAGAATAATATAATATGTATAAGATATAAATTATTAATGTATTTAGACAATACAAGAACTATGTTAGCGCGTACCTCAGAACATTGTCATATCTACACCACCCGCCAGTCTTGACCCACACAAATATGTACAGACAGGCAAAAATAATCGATTAAAGTAAACGCATTGTTCAACCCTGCACAACAAGTCAAATAGAGCTAAAGTAAGACGAAACAAAAGAATAGTATCGATGCGATGTGAATCCGAACGTAGCTAGCCTTGTGTCAAATCTCAAAGTAGTGGATTTCGAAATGTCATTTTAACATAATTTACTCTATTGTGGGTTAATATTTGTTATTGTTTGTTGATAATTATAGTTACGATTCTATATATTACAATGAGTAAAAGCAAGGTGATAAGGAACACCGCCAATTCAAATATAATTATAAATAACTATATGACACAAATAGCTACGCCCTTATACATGGAGAAACTTATAGATAATCAATAACAAAGATTTTGCACTGTATAAATTATTATTTACATGAAGAACTGTTACCACTGTTCTTTGCTGTAGAAGAAGTGTTAAATACCGCCCCGGGATGTTTCTCCAGCAGCGGCAGGAGCTGCTCCATGCATATTACCTTGTGGCGACGTCCATCCGGCGTTTTGATAACAATATTACCGCCTTGCGTCCAAACAGCTCTCATACCAAAGTGCAGTCGTGCTCTGCCGAAGATCAGTTGTCGAGCTTTGGTCAGAAACTCGCGTACCGAGACAGATGTGCCCTTTAACGCCGGCTACGCTCTCCAAATGGAAGATCTTGTTTTCTCGCCGGCAAAACGCACTAAGATGGGCCGGGGACGGTCTTTGCTCAGGGTTCCAATCCTGTGGCAGACCTTAATGTTACCAGGTGATATGTCTTCCAAGCCCATTTTTTTATTGACAAGGTTGAGAATGGATGTGGCACAGTCTTTACTCTCAGCCTCGGGAACGCCCAAGAAGAGAAGATCCTTCCGTCGCTGCCTTGACTCCAAGCTATCGAGTAGACTGTGACAGTCTGAGATTTGCTTGCGAAGGAGCCCAAGCATTTTAAAAATAAGTTCGCGAAATGTACGGAACTCCTCTGCAACTTTGGCCACAGTATCTTTTGCTGGCACTCCGCTGTGTAGCTGGGCCTCGAGTTCCGTCATCCTTCGATTGAAGCTCTCTTCTAGGCTCCTCTGTGCCGATTCTATCTCCATTAGATGAGTCATTGCCGATGTCTAAGTGAGTGTGGATGTTGAACTGGCAGGTGGGATAGTGAAAAGATGTTATATTACATTAAATGTTATGACTATGTAAGTAGCAACTAATTGCACTATTAAGCACCTGAACTGGACCAAGAAAATGTGAAAATTAACTAAATAGATTAAATAAATAAATTATCAGGAGCAGAGTATGTCTTTACTTTTTTAGCACCTACCCGCGAAAATATGTATGTATTTACAAAAAAAAAAGTATATATGTATTTATATCAATTGTCTAGTACCCATAGTACAAGCTCTGCTTAGTTTGGGACTAGATGGCGTTGTGTGTATGTGGTAGAATATTATTGATTTATTTATTAAAAAAAATTAAATTAATCAAATTATTTTTATTAAGTGGAGTAGCTTGTAGTTGCGCGAATACATATGAATGATTGTCACCATTCTATCAATCTTGAGAGTAGTGTTTTGTAAATATATACAATATCTCTTACAGTCATTTGTCTCGGCAGCAGTACACGTGTTCATAAGTTGTTAGGTTAAGTGTTCGGATTGTTAAGTTTTCTTGGTGTTTTTAGATAATATGATTCTTCTGGTTATTGCTACTAACTGTTAAAACTTCAATTATAATCAATTAGAATCTAATTTAAATCAATTAAGATATTTTTATTAAGTAAATCATCAAATTATTTTTATTAAACTATTTGTTTTTCTTTTTTTTTATACAAACCTTGTTCTGACAATACCGAATACAATAAAAAAAGAATTATTTAATTTAGTGCAGTCGTTCAATTCATTCATATTCATTTCGGCGACTCATTTTTATTTATATAGATAAATATATATTGCATAAACTTCAATTAATCTCGACTTTTATTAACATTTTGATATTAAATGATATTAAATTGATATTAAAATTGTAACTTTATTACCAGGCGGAACATTTTATACTATAGAATGTATCTAAGAATTTCGATTACTGACTGATCCTGCGAATAAATTACTTTTCTATTCTATTCAATGTACGTACGTACATGTACCTATTGAAATAAATGCTTGTTAGTGAATATGTATAATAGTTAAAAATAAGAAGGTGGAGTACCCCCTACATTAATCACTTAAGTAAGTTTAAGAAAACAGATACATATTTATTGCCAATTAAAAAATTTCATCATAGAATCACCATTTTCCATCGTTCAAGTTCTTATCGGGGTCGGCCTAGCCGCCTGTCCGACGGCAACTCTGAACACGGAACAAACGAATTGGTTTGAAGGAAAAAAATTAAGTTCTCCAACTGGCATTATGGTTTAATATGTCATTTGAACTATGATATTTCTGTGTTTAGTGCATGCATCCTTGTTTTCCTCCTCTCTCTTTTTTTGTGTTTGTTTGTTTGTCATATTGCTATTATTAATATTTCTTTTTTATTCTGTGATAACATGAAAACAATTATATGCTTTAAGAAGAGTTTTCACTCCTGCAATTAATAAAATTCCTATAACAAACTAGGCATATTTAAAGTACATTATGTAGAGCTAATTCTTAATATATTGTAACATATGTATTGTATTAAAGATAACAGAATTTTACCAAAATAAAATTCATAGATTTTCATGCCTTGAAATATTTATATCTAGTCTTGATTATGCCCACACGCCGTAATTCTTAGTTTAATACAATACATTACGGTGCTAATGATACATTACTCGAGAGAATTGGGTTACAATAAACTAGAAAGATAGATAATAAAATCAAAAAGGTAATATTAACCACAAGTAATAATTGGATTTAAAATAGCAATATTAGTAACAACAAATGAATAAAAGGTAAAAATAACGCTCAGTCTATTTCCCATCAAGGCTTACCTTGATGGGAAATAGACTGAGCGTGCAATAGCCTGACTTTAGTCGAGGTCGTATATCCCCGTTATAGGTCTAGGGTCAATCCCTAAGTACTCTTAAGAGCACAGAGAAACCGACTGATGATTGCAGGTAAAAAACTAATATACCAAATGCAAACAGTGATAAATTTATCTCAAATCTCTTGCTACGTTAATAATTAGTTAGAAACAACGAAAGGAGATCTAATTTCTTTTTTTTTTCTAACCAATCAATCGTATTTTTAGGTCACTTACCTGATAATACCATTATAAGATTACATTTTGCAACAATGTTTTAAACGATAAAAACTAATTCTTTGTAATAAAGTTAATCCATACTTATATTATTGTTATAACTTATATTATATTGACTGCACGGATGGCGTAGTGGTTTAAGCGGTCGCCACGCCGCTTCATACTACGCCGAGTGTTGTGGGTTCAAACCCCACATGGGACGACACTTTGTGTGATCCACAAATTGTTGTTCTGAGTCTGGGTGTTCTTTGTGTCCGTTTTATGTATGTTTGTAAAGTCCCCCGCGACACAGGATTTATTCCTAATGCGGGAGTTGTCTTTTTTAAGAACAAAAAAAATAATAATTATAAATGTGAAAGTGACTTTGTTTGTTTGTTACGCTTTTACGCCCACACCACTAAACCATTTTAAAGATTCTTTCACCAATAGGGAGCTATATTATCAGCGACATATATTATCAGAGAGAGGCTACTTTTTACCTTGATAACTGACATATACGGGGCCAGAGCTACAGGCAAAAGCTAGAAAGCTATTGTTTTTATAAATTGGCGAAGCCTACAACATCCATTAAAAGTTGAATAAAATGTTTCAAAATTAATGAAATAATTATCATGAGTTTAAAATAAATACAACTTTTTTGCTTATCACTAATACCCATTTTATGGACGTTTATACCTGATAATGAAGTTCAATGTTGCCAATCTTTGAACTTATTTATCTTGTTGTGAAAGTGTGTTTTGGTTTTTTTTGGTATGCTCCCCATTGGGCACTTTTTACATAAATGTTAATAAAACTGTTATTTTTTATCATAATCAAAATTTTATTCCAAATATATCGAGCAAATATATTTGGCAGTCTTTATTGCTGTGAAAAGTTTTGGCATTATAATTAGTCTCAAAGTTACAAAAGATCTTCGAACACATGTCCAAAGTGCACAAACCTCCCGGCGGTCGGGAGGTTTGGGCACCCCTGTAGGGAGGTTTGGGCACTGTATTTAATATGCAGATATTGCTTTACTTATACTACTATGCTTAAGTACTATATAACATTGCTATAAAAAATTGTAATACCAACATTTTTTCTTGTCATAGACTTTAGAAAAATTAAACAATGTGACTTAGAATCAATACTTCACGATGTTGGACTTAATTAAACTTATCTTATATTTGGTATGACCCAAAGAGGCTTATCAAATTTATATTTTAAGCTGCCACGTTTCATCCATGTTGTTGGTGTAGGCAATTTTGTCTTTATATCCTCCAGGGGGCTACGTCCTTTATGTCAGGAAATATAAACGTATTTCTTATCTTACTCGCTCTTATGAATTTGACAGTTGCCATGGAGTGAATAACCTCCTCGATTATTCCAACATAATGATAGACAGTTTTTTGGTGTCAAATTTAACCAACACAAAATTATTAATCTGGAAATTTCTATCCAGAACGATCACTTCGTCTTCATCAAAATCTTCTTCCGATTCAACAAGGGCTTCGTCAGAAACGGAAACATTTTCTATTTCATCATCGCTGTTAATCTTCCTATTTTTCTTTGCTTTGGAAGTAAATTCATCAGCAAGCTTCGGAATTGTTTTCTGTCCTATATTTTTAGAGCATTTTCGATTTTTGTTGAGCTCTTTGATCTTACTTTTTTTTTGTCTTTCTTCTTCTTCCATTTCTATAAGTCTTTTCTCGGGTGTGTCAGTCAATATTCTAGTTTTTCCCCTCTTCCGTTTCATGCCATGCAATTTCCTGGGGCCGGCCTTCGGATATGGGCTTACTAAATCAGGTGTTACATTGACAGTGCCCCTAGTCTGGCTTCTAGATGGAGATTCCAGTTGAGATGGCCCAGTGACTTTCAAATTTGAACTTGTACGATCCTCTAGACTCTGTTTGTTTTCTGTTGAAGGCTGTTCCATGACAGGTTGGTCTGAAATCGATTGTTCTGTAGGAACATTATCCTCTTCCGGCAAGCAGCGATCAGTTACAGAAGAACAAGCGAAATCCTCATCGGAGAAAATGTTTGAGTTGAATGGCCATATGCCAGGTTTTACAAATCCCCTTTGAATGTTCTGCAACTTGAATGCAGGTGGGATGGCTTTTGCTGCTAATTTTGGGATTTCATAAATTGTTACCGTTTTGGCAGGATTGCTCACCATCTAATCTGTTACAGCAGTGTTATAATAAGTTTTGAGTGGTCCATAGACAGTCAGGTCTAGAGGTTGCAGTTCATGGCTGCAGTGCGGTGGGAAAGTCATTAAAACAATGCCTGATTCTTTACAAAAATCGAGAACTGGTACTGAAATATTTATTTATTATACTAGTGCACATATTGTACAAAGGCGGACTTAATGCATTTAGGCATTCTCTCCCAGTCAACCTTCAGGTGATGTAGAAATACGATGCGGTAGGTGCAAAATAAAATATGATATTAACATAATTTAGGTCCAGAAACATACACAATATAAAAACACACATGCATACATAAACCTACATAAATTTAATAAAATATATAAATACTCAGTCGGGAACTAGAGCTGTAACTATTTCGCCAATTCACCCCGAAGAGGATCGCGCACTTTTCTCTTGAATGCAAGGCGATTTGTTGACATTATGATTTCGGCAGGGAGGGCATTCCAGAGGAGAACTGACTGGACGTAGAATGAGGAGTTGATGAAGTTAGAGGTGTGAGGGGAGCATAGAAGAAGAATATTGTTGGTTGATCGAAGATTTCGATCGTGATTGGAGCATAGGAAACGGAAGTGGGGTACGAGGTATTCAGGTAACGATGGAGAGTTGAGGAAAGAAAAAAGAGAAGTCAGTGCTCGTAAACTGCGGCGCTGACGAATAAGGAGCCATTGCAGCTGGGAACGGCTTTAAGTCCACCTTTGCCACATTTGTGCATAAAGATTTAAATAAATAAATAAAGCAGACACGTGGTCATACTTGCGAAGATTGAAAACGAATCGAATGCAGTTATTGAGAAGGCGATCTAGTTTATTGAGAAGGTCTGTATTCAGGTCGAAATAACACACATCACCATAGTCGATTATGGGAATAATTAAGGACTGCATAAGCGTAGCCTTAGTTTTAGCCCGAAGGAAGTTCTTCAATCGATATAAGGCACGGAGACATGTGGTGACTTTCTGGCCGACGTGTGTAACGTGTGCCCGCCAGTCAAGTGTCGAGTCGATATTGGCGGTGTCATTGGACATCGCCAACGCATTCAATAGTCTGCCATTCAGCTGCATCAGGGAAGCACTCCACTATCATGGGGTGCCAAAGTACCTGAGGCGGCTAGTGGCAGACTATTTACAGGAGCGTACCGTCGTGTACGAGGACCGAGATGGTAATTCGAGGTGTCGGCCCATGTCATGCGGTGTTCCACAGGGGTCTGTTCTTGGACCCCTCTTGTGGAACATAGCGTACGACTGGGCCCTTCGAGCCGATTTCCCCCCCGGGCTGGGTGTAATTTGTTACGCAGATGATACTCTGGTGACAGCCCGGGGGGCGAACTTCCAAGAGGCGGTGCGCCTGGCCACAAGGGGAGTCTCCCTGGTGGTCGGGCGCATTGAGGCGCTGGGCTTACGGGTGGTCCTAGATAAGACGGAGGCTCTCTTATTTCATGGGCCCCGTCGTGGTCTACCCCCTGGCGCCTCAATCGTGGTCAACTCGGTCCTCGTACCGGTTTAGGCCCAGATGAAGCATCTGGGTCTGATCCTCGACGGGAGGTGGCTCTTCGACGAGCACTTCCGACAGCTTGCTCCAAAGCTGGTCGGCGCTGCGTCTGCCTTAGGGCGACTTTTACCCAATTTGGGTGGACCCAGCGTACACGGGGCTGGACAAGACGGCTGTACACGGGGGTTGTCCGGTCAATGGCACTATACGGTGCACCGGTGTGGGCCGCGGCTCTGACCGCCCAGAATAGGGCACGCCTCTGGCGCCCTCAGAGGGTATTGGCGGTTAGAGCCATACGCGGTTACCGCACCGTTTCGACGGAGGTGGCTTGCGCGTTGGCCGGAACTCCCCCGTGGGATTTGGAGGCGGAAGTGCTCGCCGAAGTTTATCGGCGAGTGGCTGACTCCCGGGCGGAGAGCGGATTTCGCCCTCCGCCCGAAGACGTGCGCGAGTGGCGCGAAGCCGCTCGCCGAGCCACAATGGCTCGTTGGTCGTTCCGGCTGGAGACTCCACGCGCTGGCTTCGCCGCCGTGGAGGCTCTCCAGCCGGTCATCGCCGAGTGGGCAGGGCGGCAGCACGGGACCCTTATCTTCCGGCTAACGCAGGTGCTTTCCGGGCACGGTTGCTTCGGAAAGTACCTGCACTCGGTCGCTAGGAGGGAACTGAGTCCCGCCTGCCACATCTGTGACTGCAGTGAGGACTCGGCCCAGCACACGCTGGCGGTCTGCCCCGCATGGGCGACGCAGCGCCGGGCCCTCACTGCAGTCATCGGAGTGGATCTCTCGCTACTGGCCGTAGTACGCTCCATGGCCGGTAGCGACAGTTGTTTTACCGCGGTCGCAACCTTCTGCGAGGAAGTAATCTCGCAGAAGGAGGCGGCGGGGAAGGCCCGGGAGGACGACCTCCACTCGGACCCGATCCGCCGCCGGCGAACCGGGCGGCGGAGGCGCGCTCACCTGCGCCTCATGCTGCCCTGAGTGTGGCCGCGGGTGGACGGGGTGGGTTTCCCCTCCACCCGCATTAGTTTGGCCAGCAGCAAGGGGGGCGACGTCCGGAAAGAGAGGAAAATTTTGAGACGGAGCCCGCAACAGGAGCGGGCCGGCGCTAGGAGGGGTCCAGATGTCTTAATAACAGCTGTTCCCGGATCCCTCCTATTACAGGCGCAGAGTGGCACACCGTGTGGTTTTAGTCGGTCCGAGTCCGACACACCACCCCGCCGCAAACCCCGGTGGGGTGACGGTCCGAGGGGATTTCCACACGTAAAAAAAAAAAAAAAAGGATCATATAATTTTAATACTAAATCATTAAATATTGTTTTAGAAATAATTTCATACTTTGTCAACAATCTGCTTTTTTATATATAAACCTATCAACAGGGGGATTAATATGATATTTATCTATACGTAGTGACATCTCTGTTATTGTAGGGAAGTGGTAGCTGCCCATGGCATCATCGTGCACCGACCACTCGCATATTGAGGCGAGGTTAGCACTAATAAAGCTAACATCAATTGCAGATGGGTTTCGTCTTGGACTATTACAAGTTGTAAAACTACCATCATTTAAAATACATAAATCCAAGTCATCAATGATATTAAATAAATCCTGACCTCTACTCTTAGTGGATAGACAACCAAATGCAATGTGGTGAGCATTAAAATCACCACTGACAAAGATGGGTTTTGGCAGATCCTTAATTATATTATGTAGTCTGTTGAGATGTATGTGTCCACTAGAAGGAGGACAGTATACACAAAGAATAGTCAAGCTACCATGCACAACAGATAAGGACAAAGCAACAGTTTGAATGTCTTCATAAAATCTGGTATTTAATACTTTGTACTTTAAGTTTGGCTTAATTAGTATTGCTACACCATTATGAGCATTATTGGAATTTTTATTGTAAATATTATATCCAGATATTCTAAATTTATTGTCTTTAAACCATGTTTCGTTAAGTAAGCAAATGTCAATATTTTGTTTTCCTAAGAATTGAAACAATAAAGGTTTCTTGCTATTAGCACTTTGAATGTAATACTGAGCAATACGTAACTTAGACAGTGTATGACTTGGATCCATTACTTTAGATTTTTAAGTAGAGTCTCCTTAATACTTTTTATAGTAGTGGGCGTAGTATCTCCCTTATTACCCAGTTCCACCAACGTCTGTACGAGGGCCATAAGTACATCGTTGTTGGCAACTATTTGGATTTTGATGTCTACCTTTGTAGGGACGTCTTTAGGTTCATTTACATTATGTACAGGATTATTTACAGATACAGGTTTGTTTACAGATAAATGTACAGGCCTATTTATAGATGTATGTACAGGCTTATTTACAGTAGAAATTTTTATTTTTGGAGTTGAAAGAGGTGAAAATTGTGTATTATCTTTATTATTGTGTTGTTTCTTTAATGTAGCACTTGCATAAGTTATTTTATTTTTCTTTTCTAATATTTTATTTAACTTAATTGAACATAATCTAGAAATTGCACGATGAGGCCCACTGCAATTGACACAGCAGATCTCTGTTGGTTTATCACATTGTTTATATAAATGTTCACCTCCACAAATGGAACATCTTTGTTTGCCATTGCATATTTTAGCCGAGTGGTTAAATTTAAAGCAACGGAAACATTGCTGTAATGGTGGTATATATTAAAAAACTCGGTATGAAAATAAATCATATTCATCATATATAATCATAGAAAGAAAAGTAATACTGACTGTTTGTAGTGGTACTCGCTCTTCCCCGACCTTCTTTATGAATCTTCTTATAGCTACTATTTCATAGATTGATGATAGTTTTGTATATAATTCTTTGTTTGAAATATTTGCTGGTACAAACCTAATTATACCTGTTTTTTCTATTGTTGTCCGTGTTGTTGATGAAATTACCTATTGGCTGTATTATACTGTTTAAATATTACTGCTATTTTATTTGCATTAATACGTTGTATCGCCGTCACCCCTTTTATTTCATTAGAAAATATATGGTTGAGGTAGATAGGACTCTTATTCCGACACCTTGGTCCGAAGCTGGTGGACACTGCCTCCGCCTCCTCCGAGGCTCTCCAGCCGGTCATCGCCGAGTGGGCAGGGCGGCAGCACGGGACCCTTACCTTCCGGCTGACGCAGGTGCTTTCCGGGCACGGTTGCTTCGGAAGGTACCTGTTCTCGGTCGCTAGGAGGGAATCGAGTCCCGCCTGCCACCACTGCGACTGCGGTGAGGATTCGGCCCAGCACACGCTGGCGGTTTGCCCCGCATGGGCGACGCAGCGCCGGGCCCTCACTGCAGTCATCGGAGCAGATCTCTCGCTACCGGCCGTAATTCGCTCCATGGCCGGTAGCGACGGTTGTTTTACCGCGGTCGCAACCTTCTGCGAGGAGGTAATCTCGCAGAAGGAGGCGGCGGAGAATGCCCGGGAGGACGACCTCCATTCGGACCTGATCCGCCGCCGGCGAACCGGGCGGCGGAGGCGCGCTCACCTGCGCCTCATGCCGCCCTGAGTGTGGCCGCGGGTGGACGGGATGGGTTCTCCCCTCCACCCGCATTAGTTGGCCAGCCGCGAGGGGGCGGCGTCCGCGTGTGCCGGACGCCGCCTAAAGAGAGGGTCCACTGAGACGGAGCCCGCGTCAGGAGCGGGCCGGCGCTGGGAGGGGTCCAGAAGGAGATAGCTACCTTGACCCCTCCTAAACTGGAAGCGCAAAGAGGGCACACCGTGTGGTTTTAGTCGGTTCGAGTCCGACACACCGCCCCGCCGAACGAGAGCCCCGGCGGGGTGACGGTCCGAGGGGATTTCCACACGTAAAAAAAAAAAAAAAAAAAAAGGAGACATGGTCTTGGTGAAAGACGCTTACCTACCTCCTCTTCTATGGATGCTGGGCCGAGTCGTTACCGTCAAGCCCGGGTCTGACGGGCATTGTAGAGTTGCGGAAATACGCACGAAGAAGGGCATTATAACCCGTGCCACCACGTTTAACTTTATAAATGTGTTTGTTGTAATAAACATAGAAACAGTACTTCTTGTTGTGTCAAAATTTTTAATAATTGTATGACTAAACCTAGCACTAATATCCGCACAAGAACTAGCATTGAACTGGCCAATCGTGAATGTGATACAGAAAGTACTGATTCCAATGTAAGTACTCCAAGACGTAATCTTGAGTTATTGTAATAATATAATCTATAGGTTCTATTTTTATTTTGATCATATGTTTAATTTAATTCTGGGTTCTTTAATTTTATTTTGGGTTGTTTACTATTTCTAATTTTTATGATAATCTAACTATATAATATTATTTAAGAAAAGTTTTATAAACTCAATTTCTAATCTTAATTTTATCTTACATGGATTATACTCACATCCTTTTCTATTTCCGGATGTTTCGTTTTAAAGGGGGGAGGTGTTACATCCCTAATTTTGATGATATTGCATAGGAATGCAATACAATATTGCTGACTTGCAATAATAGCAAAATGACGTAAATTTAACATTGCAGATCAGCAATAAATACACTATAAATACCAATCCTTTTCTTAAATTAGTCAGTTATTATTCTCTAGTGCTGATATAATTTGTGGTCTCTGACTACTCCCCAACCTTGGTTGGTTTTCAGCAAGGAATTCTAGAGCAATAATATACTCCGGGTCTATTCTGCCCTTCGCTGGGGCCAATAAAAACGCGTATTATCCGTGTTAAGTGGTGTTGTATAAGTTTGTGTCTATATTAAGTTGCCAAAAGTTGTGTAGAGTTATAAAATAAATAATTGTGATAGTCAGTGGTGGTTATTTTTTAAAAGTGCCGGACTGTCCAATCTAACAGCTCGCACTATTTACAAAATATCAATGTGACTAAAGTTGCAGTTGTAAGAATTCAATATATGACGACTAGGTGCATGCAGGCCTGCGTTTGTGCGTGATGATCGTATGGCAAATAGATGTTGAACGCCTGTCGTTCAACATCTATGCACGATCTAGTAGGCACTCTATAATTAATATTATTGACAATATCAATGCAGTCGTATCTGTTATGGCAAATGTCATACAAAAACATGGCTTGCATTTGTGTTCTCCTGGACTTTAAGTCTAACAGTTTATATTTTTCCAAAAGCTGATGGTACGATTTAAAATTATGAGAGCATTTATAGTGCATACAACGCAGAAATTTCTTTTGGATTCTTTCTAAGCTATCGGAATATTATACATAGAAAGGATCCCAAACACATACAGCATATTCCAACTGTGAACGGATTAAGGTCTTATAGAGATGTAGATATGTATTAGGACGTACGAAATCATTACTGGCTCGCAGTACAAACCCATACATTTTAAAAGCCTTACTACATATGTTATCAACATGTGCGTCAAGTGTTAACTTAGTATCCAATGTGACTCCAAGATCGCGGATAGTTTGTACTCTGTTTAGATTGTGGCCGCCTATAGAATAATTATGTGTACTAAATGTTCGTTTTCTGGTAAATGTAATAACCTTACATTTATCGAGACTTAGCTCTAATTTGTTTTTTTTTACAGTAATTGTTAAATTTATTCAGGTCTTCCTGGAACCTGAGGTGATCATTAGAATTATCTACAGAGAGGTAAATTTTTAGGTCGTCTGCGTACAATAAAAAATTACAATGCTGAAAGCAAATATGTATATTATTGATGAAAATAATGAATAACAGGGGACCAAGGATAGATCCCTGTGGTACACCAGACGTTATGACAACCGTATCTGATTCATGTCCATTTATGACAACTTTTTGTGTTCTGTTTGTCACGTACGACTTAAACCATCTCCAAAGATTCCCGCGAATGCCGTTGAAAGCAAGTTTTTCTAGCAATATTCTATGATCCACACGATCAAAAGCTTTCCGAAAATCTGTATAGACACTATCAGTTTGCCTATTGGCGTCTATATTGTCGAACAATTCAGAAGTATAAATAAAAAGATTAGTGACAGTGGATTGTTTACGGACAAAGCCATGCTGTTGCGGCAGAATGGTTTTATGCAATAGTGGATAGATATTATTATGCACTAGTCTCTATAACTTTAGATAAAGTGGGAAGGATGGAAATTGGACGATAATTAACACTTTATTTGGTTCTTATGTTAAAAAGATATTATAATAAAGTTCAAGTGAGATTTAATTGTTTCTTGGTTATTAAATGTTGTTAATTACTAATTGATAATTAATAATTACCAAATAATGGTTATTGTTTATATTCGATTTATTATTATTGTTTTTTTAATATTTTTTAATATTTGACAGTTTAATTTACCTACCTGCTACAATCGATAAGAAAAGAAGTAAGCTATGGGGTTTTTTTACGCAAGTTAAAGATGATAAGGCAAAATGTAATCTTTGTAAATCGTTGTATTCAGTAAAAGGCGGCTCTACTACAAATTTAAAAAAGCACCTTTTAAAAAAACACAGATCAACCTATGAAACCATCAATCCATGCTCTGGGTCAGATGTTGTAGTTCTGGAAGCTCCTGAATCATCAACTTCAGCAAGTACAGAATCTACTATACCTGAAATTAAAACAAATGACAAAAATTCGTAAAATTCGTGCCTTTATTTAACGTCCTGTAGGTGTAGCAAAAGAAAAAAAAAAATTAATTTTTAAAATGATAGTTAAAGACCTGCAGCCTTTTTCTGTAGTTGAAGACGAGGGTTTTAAGGCTCTCATTAATTACTTAGAACCAGGCTACAAAATGCCTTCAAGGTACATACTAAGGAACATTTTATTGGATGCGCAATACTCAGATGCCCAAAAAAAAATTAAACGATGAATTAGAAAATGCAAAATATGTATCGATTACCACCGATGGCTGGACTTCAAAAGCAACAACTTCTTATCAAGCTGTAACAGCCCATTATTTATTAATTTGGGAGTTGAAGTCTGCTTTATTAGGATGTTTTGAATGTCATGAGGACACACGGCCGAATATATTAAAAATGAGTTGTATAGCTTACTCTGCCATTGGAACATACAAAATAAAATATTTGTCTGCGTTACAGATAACGCAGCAAACATGAAGGCGGCTATACGATTAACAAATTATGAACATTTGCCGTGTATAGCTCACACTCTTAATTTAGTTGTGCGTGCAGGACTCCAGGACTGTGATCTCGGGGAGCTAATAAAAAAAATAAAAGCCATTGTGGAACATTTTCACAAGAGTCCAATAGCTACGAAAAAAACTAATTGCAATGCAGGAGCAGCTGAGGCCTAATCAAAAACCATTGAAGCTACAAATGGACGTAGTGACCAGATGGAACAGTACCCTGGACATGATTGAGAGGATTTGCTTACTTCAAGAACCTTTAGAAGCGTCTCTTGGAATCCTACATAATCCAGTAGAAAATCTTTTGGAAGCTGAATGGCAGACACTGCCAGAAATAATAAAAATTCTGAAGCCATTCAAGCAACTCACTGAAGAAATGTCTTCAGAAAGAAAAGTTACTGTTTCAATGATCCTAGCTTCGACAGAAAGTATGCTTAGTATTTTGTACAATTTAGAAACAAATATTATTACAGATACTGGGAAAAAACTGGCAAATAAAATTTTAACAGAATTTAAAATTAGGTTTAAGAATTGTTACAGGCACCCAGTGTTATCTAAAGCAGCATTGTTAGACCCGCGTTTTAAGTAGCTGGCATTTAGGTTTGATGCGTCAAGTTATGAGTCTGCCAAAGATGCATTGAAAACTGAGCTGCAAAACGAATTTAACTTTAATAATCAGCCGATAAAAGCTAACGAGAACGAATTGATATTAGCTACATGTACTGGTGACACCGACGCTAATAACGACTCTATCTGGATAGATTTTGACACTTCGGTAACGTCAGCGTCTGCTTCGAACTCTAAAGTTAGCAGCAGCATAATTACCTTGAGGCAATATCTAGAAGAACGTTTTATACCTCGAAATGAGTGTCCTTTGAAATGGTGGCAGACGAGGGCACTTCTATACCCCGAACTCTCAAACTTGGCTGCGAAATATTTATCAGTGATGGCTACCTCGGTACCATCTGAATGGACTTTTTCCAAATCGGGTCAAATATTAAGTGAGAGGCGCAGCTCAATTCAACCAAAGCGAATGGAAAAGATTTTATTTTTAAATATCAACCAAAGATTCCTGTCATAAAATGGCCCAACGAGCAAGTCTCAGATCTTAAATGTTAACGCTTGCCCAAGCAGTTTCGGTGCTCTAGGTTTAAATTCATTCTAAGAAATAATTATTTTTTGTTATTTTAGTTTTGTTTAAAATATGATTTTATCATTATATTTAATTTCATTCCAAGAACAAAAGTTTGTTGTCATTTTAATTGATTCAAACTTTTTTATTTAATTTTATGTTTAATTTCGTTCTAAGAAATAATTATTTTTATGTTGATTTATGGTTGAAATGCTGTTTAAATTTTATTGACAATAAATAATTTTGGACGCCTATTTGTAAAAATTATCACTGTCACGAACTTGTCTCACAGTTTAAATAATAATCATCAAGCGATACCATATGGGCATTCCCCTTTACTTTTTCCCGTATAAGCTCCATTGTCCGGGTTACGTTCCAGTCGACGTTTTTAGCGGCTACGTGCCCTTTAATGGCAGCCCACGCCATCTCGATGGGGTTCAAATTGGGATGATACGGGGGTAAACGAAGGACATCGTGGTTGTTTTTTTTAAACATTTCGTCTATTACCTATCTTTTATGCACGTCTTTGTTTTTTTTTATTAGATCGTAAAGTTGTGGCTTACGCATGTCCTTTTCATAGGGTATACCCTTTTCTACTAACCACGACTGCACGGATGGCGTAGTGGTTTAAGCGGTCGCCACGCCGCTTCCTATTACGCCGAGTGTTGTGGGTTCAAACCCCACATGGAATAACACTTTGTGTGATCCACAAATTGTTGTTCTGAGTCTGGGTGTACTTTGTGTCCGTTTCATGTATGTTTCTAAAGTCCCCCGCGACACAGGATTTATTCCTAGTGCGGGAGTTGTCTTTTAAAAATAAATAAATAAAAACATATATTAAACACTCATAAAGTCACGTCTAATAGACATGCGGGGAAGGCTAACTAATAATGAAGTAACAAAATAATGCTTACCAATTGCCCAGCTAGAGTATTGTAATTACTGAAGTTAATATTACTATTTGTTGTGATTACTTCTGTGCGCTCGAGGTCGAAGGACGGGCCACTGCAGAGACCTGTTGAGAAGTTTTTTGAACACATTTATTTTTTATATGGTGTAAATCCGAGGTGATCCCAAACCTTTCTAAAGCTGGTTCCTGAAATGCCTCAGCCCTAGCACGCGCAAGTTCAAGGCGCTTCCCCAATCGCTTCAGATCGACTATAGATTTTACGTCATGAAGGGCCAATTCCTTCATGTAATCGGGCCTGATGTTGTGCATCAAAATGTCCAGTTGTTCCTCACTGGGCATCTTGCACGAGAGTCTAGAGAACATGGCCTGCATCGTAGAGATGTAGTTGCCCAATGTTTCTAATCGGGCCTGTGTACGCTGTCTGATTTCATTGCTGTAATCCGCTCTCACAGGCCTCTTGTAATTGCCCCAACCTGTGCCGAACTAACAGTGTAAAATATCTAGGGGTACAGATTGACGACACTCTCTCCTTCCATTCACACATAGACGCACTATCCTCCAGACTACGAAAGCTCATATTTGTCTTTAAAACCCTCGGTCAGGTAGCTGATACACAAATACTTAGGACCACCTATCTTGCTCTTTGCCAGTCTCTGACGCAGTACTGCATCGTTGCTTGGGGAGGTGCAGATAAAACATATCTCCTTAAATTGGAGCGTGCCCAAAGGGCGGTACTAAAAGTTGGTTGGAGGCTACCATACCGTTTCCCGACCACTGATGTTTATAAAACCTGTAATGTGCTCTCTGTCCGTAAACTATTTATCCTCTCCGTTATTCTTACGACACACTCTCAGACTCCTTATGATCCTTCGAAATTTAAGTCTGTTCGTCGAAAGTATACTGTATGCCCGTCAAACCCGGTCAGAACAAGATTAGCACAGCGATGTTTTTACCACTTTGGTAACTATTTGTACAACAAAGTTAACAAAATCCTGAATGTGTACCCAATGACTAAATTTCAATGTAAAAAAGCTGTTACCAAGTGGTTGATTGATTTGGATTATGACGAAACAGAAAAGATAATCTGTACTTTAAAATAAGTACTGTCACTCATGCGCATACACAAACTCACACACACGCACACACACTCAACACACACACACACGCACGCATACACTAATTTCTAATTCTTCTTACCTTTTTTAATTATATTTTGAATTAAAAAAATAAAAATAAAAAATGTATCACGTTGCTCAAAATCTACATGTATATGTATTGCATCTGTATCGCTAAGGTGGGAGCCTGGAGATTTGTCACACAGGTTTCGAACCTACTACAAACTCCAGCTCTCACTAAGGTGTCATGTATGTTATTTTTATTATAGTAGCATAACAAACTTATGTACCTATTTACCTTTTTGAGACAAATAAACCTTATTATTATTATTATTATTATTATTGCGGAGGCGATAATCATAGTCAGAAAGGTCAAAAGTTTCTCTCAGCTCCTCTATCATGCCCTCATATGAGGTGAAGGTCTCCTTGTTGGTGCGGTACCACGACAAGGCCGGACCGTCCAATAGGTCAGAGAAGGCTGTGAGGATCTTATCCTTGGTGACTTCCCGAGCACATCTAAGCTCCTCCAGTCTCTCAATGAAGACACGTACACAAGAAGAGCCATCATATTTTATATTAAAAGAATTTAAATTAACGGGTCTATCCCTTACTATTATATTTGAATTTGGGTCGGAACTGGGTGCGTTGGGTCGCATCGAGCGGTCCCCCCTTACCACAGGTGAGGTGTAACCTATGTGGTCGCGATGAGTAGGATCGGTCTCCTTCTCCGAACCCTCAGAGTCCAAGTCGGTATGTGATTCAGACACAGACAAGACTTTGACTAAGCGGTCACGGATACCTACTAGTTCTGGACAGTCTAAACTACACCTGGCTAACCTAGCGAGAAGATAATTAGCCCTCAATGCAACTCTAGTACGACAATTTTTATTCGAAACAAAGTCACCTGAAGAAAGGACCTGTTCCAGCTCAAAGACCTTAGGCTCGCAGACAGACAACTCAGAGGCGGCAACAGCAGGAACAGCGGCGATGGCCTTAATGCTGCCACGCCGGATAAGCCGCAAAGCAGTACGCAGCTCACTTCGCAAGCCGACAACCGTATCATCAGGATTCGCTGAAATCCCCATGGCAGACAGTTCATTAATAAGTTCATCCTTTTTAAGGTAATTAATGCACTTACGTAAATGTGCCATGGTGGTTTACAATTTAAGTTCAATTATACAAAAAAAAAAAATCTCAACAGGTTTACAAACTAGTAATGTAGACTTAATGACTTTTACAGTTCACAAAAGTAAAAAATAATGCTACTGAGTATACTTCTTCACTATTAACAGAGTGTGAGAAAGTTAAAAAAAATAATATTTTAAAATATTATAATAAAATATTAAAATATTAAGTAATATTTTAAAAATTGAGAAACAAATTCAGCTAAAAAAAAATATTCTTGGTTCAAAATTTAAGACACAAGTTATATTATCTTTAGAATATTGACACAGTAATCCAATGAATTGACAAACTTTATTATTATAAAAGTTATTTCGACATAAATTGTAAGTAGGGTATGTATACAACAAAACTATTTTATTTTAATTTTAAGTCAGTAGGTTATAAAAAAAATGGAGGGTACATAAAACTTTATAAGTTAAGTTAAGTTTGTAAGATAATTACACCAGGAGTACTGGGATAAAAATTCAAAATTTTAACTGTAATTCATTAGAGTCAAACACGTATGATCATTTAAACTGAATAAGATTCCGGTCCCGCGTCGTACGCAATCATCAATACAAACCGACGCTGACGCCTCTAATATCCCCTTAACTATATCTAATAAAACTTTTATGTTAAGTAATACTCGTAATAAGAACCATATTAATTTTACTAAATCCTTTACATCTCAACCCCAGCAGTTGAGTCATAATACTAATCTTACTATTTCTACATCTCGCGTTAAAAAGCCGAGTCCTACTATTTCTACTAAATCATTTACATCTCAACCTCAGTGGTTGAGTCATAACGTTAATGGTACCAATTCTACTATTTATACATCTCCAGCTAGTAAGCGGAGTCCTACTATATCTCTAACATCTCAACCGAAGCAGTCGAGTCATAATAATAATATTAAGTCGACTATTTCTACATCTCGGGAAAAACCGAGTCTTACTATTTCTCCTATGTCTAATACATCTCAACCACAGAAGTTGAGTCTCGAAAACTATCATACTAAATCTACTATTTCTCCTAAATCCTCTACACCTCAACAATTGCAGGTGAATTATACCACGTTTCATCATAATAATAACAAGCCAAATACACTTAAAAAGTCTACTAATTCTAAAACTACTAAATCCGTCAGTCCTACTAAATCTTACAATTGCTTAGAAAATAATTTCAGTACACCATTTAATTTAACAGAAAATAATAAATGTAATTCAGAAATACAATCTAATATATTTCAACTCAATTACAATAAGAAA